TTCTTTTTTATCATTGATTTCTAATTTCATTTCATTATGGTCTGATAGAATGCAGGGTATAATCTCTACTTTTCTTATATTTGCTAAGAGTTGCTTTGTGAAATAGTATATGGTCTATTTTAGAGAAGGATCCATGTACTGCTGAGAAGTATATTCTCTCAGTGAAGATTGGAATATTCTATATATGTCAGTTAAGTCTAACTTGATTGTATTATTTGAGTTCTATAGTTTCTTTGTTCAGCTTTTGCTTGGAATGTCTATCTAGTAATGAAAGAGGTGTGTTAAAGTCACCCAAAATGTTGTGTTGTGGTCTATTTGACTCTTGAACTTGAGAAGGGTTTGTTTGATGAACGTAGCTGCTCCATTGTTTAGGGCATATATAATTGTTAAGTCTTGTTAGTGTATGGTTCCCTTGAGCAGTATGTAGTATCCTTCTTTATCCTTTTTGATAGACTTTAGTTTGAAGTCTACTTTATTTAATATGAGGATAGAAACCCCTGCTTGCTTCTGCAGTCTGTGTGAGCTGTATGATTTTTCCAAACCCTTCAACTTCAGTCTGTGTATGTCTTTTTCTATGAGATGAGTTTCTTAGAGGCAGCATATTGTTGGGTCTTTTTTTAATCCAACCTTCTAGTCTGTGTCTTTTGATTGGTGAGTTTAGGCCATTAACATTCAGGGTTATTATTTAGACATGATTTGTATTCCCAGCCATTTTTGTTTATTTTTGGTATTTAACATGACTTGGATTTTTGTTCTAATTAGATTAGATATTCCTTTAGTGTAATCCTTCCCTGTGATTTTCATCATTGTTTTTCATTTCTTCTTCTTGGAATACTTTGCTGAGGATGTTCTGTAGTGCAGGCTTTCTAGTTGTAAATTCTTTAAACTTTTCTTTATCATGGAAGGTTTTTATTTCATCATCAAATCTAAAACTTAGTTTTGCTAGATAGAAGATTCTTGTTTGGCATCTATTTTCTTCAGAGCTTGGTATATGTTGTTCCATGATCTCAGTGGCTTTGAGGGTCTGGGTTGGAAAATTTGCTGAGATAAGAATTGTTCTCTCCTTATATGTGATCTTATTCCTCTCTCTTGCAGCTTTTAAGATTCTGTCCTTATTCTGTATGCTACGCATTTTCATTATAATGTGTCTTGGTATAGATCTGTTGTAATTTTGTACATTTGGTGTTCTGTAAGCCTCTTGTATTTGGTTTTCCAATTCGTTCTTCATGCTTGGGAAATTTTCTGATATTATCTCATTGAAGAGCTTGTGCATTCCTTTGGTATGAAACTCTGTGCCCTCCTCTATCCCAATAACTCTTAGATTTGGTCTTTTGATACTGTCTCATAATTCTTGGATGTTCTGTTCATGGTTTTTAACTTTATTCACTGTGTGGTCAACTTTATATTCCAGATTGTAAACTTTGTCTTCATTATCTAACATTCTTTCTTCCAAGTGTGTTGGTTATGCTTTCTATTGGGTTTTTTATTTGATTTATTGCAATCTTCATTTCAAGAATTTATATTTTTTTCTGGGTCTCTCTCTCTCTCTCTCTCTCTTGAATCTTTTGTTACCTGTATTTGCTCTCTTATCTCATGTTGGAGTGATCATTTTTTGCTTGTTTTTGCTCGTTTAGGTCATTCTTTAATTCACAGATAATTTTATTTTTGTTTTTTTTTATTATTATTATAGGGTCCTGGTTTGTTTGGAGCACTTTCCTCCCTTATTTTTTCATGTTGTCTATGTGTCTTCCTTTCTTGCAGTGTGGACCTAAGATATTACAGTTTCTTCTCTATATTCTTGTAGTATACATTCAGATTTTCTGTACCTCACCTTGATTTTGGGCTTCCAGACTCTGCTGGTGTCCCTCAGTGGATGCTACTACATCCTGGATCTGGGACCTGCCGTAAGTTGCAGTGGGTATATAGGGGCCATTGGGCTTGACCTTCCACAGTAGTCTGCTGGTCAAAAGGGGCAGTCCTGCATCAAAAGCTAGGCTCTGGCAGTGTCTGCCCCACTGGGGAAGGGATGAACCTTGTCTACTGAGATCCTGGATTCTGAACCTGAGTGGGCTGATGTGGGCTGGCTGGGCTAGATCTTGGCTCCTGCTCCATGGTAGTCTGCTGGTCAGAGGAGGCAGCACTGCACCAGAGGCTAGGCTCAGGTGGTCTCTGCCCCATGGGGGAGGAGTGGACCAGGCATGCTGTGTACCTGGGCCCTGAAGAGGCGGTATTGGGTGGGTCTGGGCCACCGGGCTTGACCTCTTGTGGTAGTCTGCTGGTCAGAATGGGCTGTCTTGAAGCAAAGGCTAGGTTCTAGCAGTCTCTGCCCTGCCATGGGAGGGGTGGACCAGGCATGCTGTGCGTGCCTGGGCCCTACAGAGGTGGGTAGGAGTTCTATAATTTTCCTTACAGTGATCTTTAACTTCTTCAGTTAGGTTTATTTCTAGGTATTTTTTAAGGTACTGTGAATGGAATTGTTTTCCTGATTTCTCTCTCAGATTCATTACTGGGGTAAAGGAAAGTTATTGATATTTATTTTGTACCCTGCAACATTTTTTAATATGCTGAGCTGGTATCCTGCTATTTTGTTGAATTTCTTATCATCTGTAAAGTCTTCTGGCAGAACTTTTAAGGTTTTTCTAAGTATACGATCATATCCCACAGTGGAAATATTGTGAATTCTTCCTTTCTTATTTGTATCCCTGTTCTCTTTTCTAATTACTCTGACAAAACTTTGAAAAACTATATTGAATAAAAGTGTTGAGAATGGACACCCTTGTCTTTGCCTAATATTAGTTTAAATGCTTTCAGTTTTTCCCCATTTATTATGATGTTGGCTTTGAGCTTGTCATATATAGTCTTTATTATGTTGAAGGAATTCCTAATATATGCAATTTTTTCAGTGCTTTTATTATAAATGCATAATGAATTTTGTCAAAGGCTTTTGCTGCATGCATTGAGATAACCATATGATTTTTGTCCTTCATTCTATTTATATGGTGAATTACACATATTGTTTGCATATATTGGACAATCCTTGCATGCATGAGATGAAACCAACTTGATCACAGTGTATAATACTTTGAATTTATATCCGATGTTGATTTGCTAATATTTTATCGAGAGTTTTGCACCTATGTTCATAAATGGTATTGTTCTGTGTTTTCTTTCTTAAAAGTGTCTTCACCCAATTTTGGTATCAGAGTGATACAACTTTACAAAGTTTAAAAGTGTTCAACTTCATGGAATAATTTTAAGAGAATTGTCATCAGTTCTTCTTTAAAGATTTGTAAAATTCAGTTGTGAATCCACCAGTTCCTGGACTTTTCTTTATTAGAAAGCTTTATATTAATGCTTAAATCTCATTGCTTGTAATTTTTCTCTTCAGGTTTTCTACCTCCTCATCATTCTGATTTGGTAGGTTGTATGTGTCTAGAAATTTGTCCATTTTTTCTAGATTTTCCAATTTACTGAAATATAAGTCTGCAAAATATTCTCTAATGATCTTCTAAATTTCAACTATGTCTATTTTAATATCCCCATTTGCATCCCTAATATTATTAATTTGGGTCTTTTCACTTTTTTATTAGTTTGGCTAGAGATTTAATTTATGATTATTTTATTTAAAGAAACAATTATTTATTTCATTGACCCTTTTTATTTTTCTTAGTTTCTATTTCATTAACTTGAGCTCTGGTCTTTATTACTTCTTTCCTTCTACTAACAATCAGATATAGCTACTGTCATATCAGACAAAGCAGACTTGTAATTATTATTGGAAGAGACAAAGAAGGATATTATATATCGATAAAGGGAACAATCCAACAAGAACATGGAGTTGTAGATATTTGTGCTACAAATGTGAGGGCAGCACTCATTTTGACAAAATAAACATTACTAGACATATAGTGACTGATGGACTCCAATACAATAATAGGGGGATTTCAATACACTTCTCTCACTAATAGGTCATCCAGAGAGAAAATCAACAAGGATACATCCTATTTAAACCTTATTATTGATCAATTAAACATAATAGATATCTACTGAATATTTTATTCAGCAATACTAAATACACTTTCTCATCAGCCACGCACAGGAACTTTCTCCAAAGCTGATCATTTAGTAGGCCATAGAGCCAATCTTATCAAATACAAAAACAGTGAAATAATCTTGCATTTTTTCAGCTCATAATAAAATGAAATTAGAAATCAATAAGAAAAATTACCGAAACTACACAAATATGTGTAGCTTGAATGAGATGCTTTTGAATGGTGAATGAACCCCTGAAGAAATTAAGGGGAAAATTTTTAAATACCTATAATCAAAGAAAGATAGAAGTATATCATACCAGAATCTCAGATACAGTAAAAGCAATGCTTAATAGGGAAGTTTATAGATACAATTGTCTATGTTAAATAAAACAGATCTCAAATTACATAGTGATGCACCTTGAGGTCTTAGAAAAACAAGAACAAGTCAATCCTAAAACAGTTTACTTTTACAAAGAAGTTACTGCTATCTTATTGGAGGCATGATGTGGAGGTAGGAGCTGGGGTGTATTTCCTATAAAATGAGGCATCCTGATCCCAACTATTAGTAAAATTCTGAATGTATCACTTTTCTACTGAACATTGCTCTTCCATAGAAATACATTGTTTTCCTTATATTCTTCATTAACCTTTCCACTCAAACCTCTGGCCAACCAGAAATGCCAGTTCCATACTTTAGGAAGAATACAAAATATTAGAGATTTCTCTCCTAACATTTTATCTCCTAATATTTAGGGAAATTGAAATCAAAAGCCTTATATAATGGTCAGCATCACTATTCAAAGATCTTGAAGCTTGGGATTCTCAATCCAGATTGCTTCAATTATGAGCATCTGTTTGTAGACAAACAAATCATTTCTCTCCCACTAATAACAAGAAACAAGGAATATTTGAAAATATTTTTAGATGGGTATCTTAACAGCTCTTATGTTTTAATCTCTTTTTCAGGCCCTCCAGTTAATGTCACATGCAACATATTCATAAACAGCTTTGGCTCTATTGCAGAGACAACTATGGTAAGCACATTTTCTTTGTAACCAAATTTCACACTGGATTAATTTATCACATTAAGAGAAACATTTATGCTGTTATGTAAATTAAAACTTAATGTAATAAGATTTTAAAAGAGAAAATTAGAATAACTATAATCAACTACACATATAATGTTTCATTTACAAATGGTAATATTAGAGAATAAATGTAAATAATGTTTAATCTTCCCCATTCAACAATAAAATGTTAAACCTTAAATTAAAACTAAAATTTTACCATGTAAATTATTTCTTTTAAATGCTTTTTAATAGTCAGACATAAACATGATACTAAATACTCTGGTTCTTATTATGAACACTTACAAATTTCTTTATGCTATTATATTAAGTATTCTATTGGATTACTTTTTCAAATAAATATAGTATCTGGGGGCTGGGGTTGTGGGTCAGCAGTAGAGCACTTGTGTAGTACATGTGAAGTGCTGGATTTAATTCTCAGCACCACATGAAAAGAAATAAATAAGATACAGGTATTGTGTCCAACTACAGCTAAAAAAAAGTTTTAAACATAGTATCTGCCTAAACATCTTAAAGACATAAAAAATCTACTTGTAAATTTATAAAAATTGTATTGTATTTCTTCATTTAACATTGCTGTGTAATTGAGCACACTGTATATAATCATATTACTAAAGTAAAAAAAATTATTGGCCAAATTTATTTTGCTGTAATTTTTTTAACATTGATTTAGACTAGCCAGGTTTCTTTTTCTTTTTTAGTTGCTAATGGACCTTTATTTTATTTATTGATACATGGTGCTGAGAATCGAACCTAGTGCCTCACACATGCTAGGCAAGCACTCTGCCACTGAGCCACAACCCCAGCCCTATTTTGTTGTAATTTTATAGATTACAGATTCTATAATTTTCTCTAAAAATTCATATTATTTCTCCTTTTCCCTGAAGCTTTTATTGTGCAATTTAACTAAAATAAAAGGCTGAAATAGATAGATGAACCACTGAATATCTGTAAAATTATTTCTGAAGAAAAATAATCTAATGTAAAAACTATTGTATTTTGAGGAAGAGTACATTTGCGTATGAAGGAGAAGTTTATCCATCTCAACAGGAAGAGACATTTTATGTACCATTTTCCCCAAAATGCTTTTTTTCTTTATTTATGCAGTATTTTCTTATTTAGCAGCATCTCTGTTTTATTTAAATTTTGTAATAAAAGTATTAGAGGAGAAGAACCAAACTTACATTTCTGGGCACTTAATAAAATTAAATTAGATACAGTAGATAAGTCAACATAAACATATGTGTATTAGTATAAACACAGGAAATACAAATAATTCACTTTTATACACACATTGTGGTTCTGTTACAATTCTATCATTAAAGTTGCATAATCCTCTTTCAGTCTTTGATGTATTCTGAAGGCTAGTTGAATATCTGGTTTATGTCCTGCATTTATACATATTTAGTCTAAAGTATCCAAAGATGAAGGAACCACTTCTACCTAAATTCTACTTAGATTCACAAATTGAATTTCTATCTCTGTCAACTTTCTCATTTTAACTGCTTTTATACATGCTGTATAATACTAAACACTTGCAAATATGCTTCTCTATATTTCTCTTTTGCAACATTGCTTCTACAAAATACTTTCAGCAGCAATAGTTTGAAAGTTTTATAGCCTTGCACATCTTTATAAAGTAAAGGGAAGGGATTCTGGGGGGAAAAAAGAGGACTCATGATAGGTTACTGAACGTTTTTGCATTTTATGAGATAATTCATCAGTCGACAACTAAAATGTTTATGACACTCCATAATACAACTGCACCAACTAAAATTCTTAACTTTAATAATTTTATAAGACTTCCTTTATAGTATAATATTCTGGAGAAAGCTTGCAGAATTTTGTAAACATAAGCCATGGTAACTCTTGGGTGGTTTTATTTCCCTTCTCCAACATAGTAACCCTTTACATTCCCACATATTCCATCATCATGTGTGATCTCTGAAATTGTTTATCATACATCAATCTCCTCTTCACAATCCTCAGAAGCAATGAATATTGACAAAGTACTCCAGAGTAAATTTAGTAAATTTACTCTTAATTTAGTATTTAGTAAATACTAAATTAAGTATGCCCTCCTTAGTTCTTTTTTATTCTTCCATATTCCTAAATATGTGATTAATACTATTTCCACCAAAGTTTATAAATCTTTCACGTTATCAGCTAGAATGACTACAATATGGTATTCATCTACATTGGAATGTGAGAAAACTAGAATTTGTTAATATATTTCTATCAGAAGAATGGTATGGTATTTTTCTCCCATTTGGTTGATTTGATGTATTTTCTTCATAAAATCTGCCATCACAACACTACAACTGAATTGTATCCCACTATTTCATTGATATATGTGTTTAAGTTCATTTTTAAAGTTATTCAATGTTTTTATTTAAGAGAGAGAGAATTTTTTAACATTTTTAGTTTTTTAGTTTACGGTGGGCACAACACCTTTTATTTTATTTTTATGTGGTACTGAGGATCGAACCCAGCGCCCAGCACATGCCAGTGGAGCATGCTACCATTTGACCCACATCCCAGCCCCAATGTTTTTTATTTGTTCTAAATAGTTACACATTACAGTAGAATGCATTTTTGACACACAGTACACAAATGGAGCATGCCTTCTCATTACTCTGGCTGTACATAGGGCTGAGTCACACCAGTAGTGTACTTATATATTACCTTATATACATATATGTATATAAGGTAATAAAGTCACATTGATTCTACTGTCCTTCCCATCCTCATAGCCCCACCCTCCCCTCACTCTCCTCTGCACAATACAAAGTTCCTTCATTCTTCCTTACCTGTATGCCCCCACAATGGATCAGCATCTACTATCAGAGAAAACATTAGGCCTTTGTTTTTGGAGGACTGCCTTATTTCACTTGGCATGTTGTTCTCTAGTTCCATCCATTTACCTGCAAATGTTATAATTTCTTTCTTCTTTAAGGCTAATATTCCATTGTGTATATATACCACATTTTCTGTATTTATTCATCTGTTGAAGGGTATCTAGGTTGGATCCATAGTTTAGCTACTGTAAATTGAGCTGCTATAAACATTGATATGGCTGCATCACTGTAGCATGCTGATTTAAGTCCTCTGGGTACAGACCAAGGAGTGGAATAGCTGAGTCAAGTGGTGATTCCATTCCAAGTTATCTGAGGAAACTCCATACTGTTTTCCATGGGGGTTGCACCAATTTTTAGTCCCACCAGCAATGTATGAGTGTATCATTTTATCCACATCCTCACCAACACTTATCATTGTTTGTATGAATAATAGCTGCCATTCTGACTGGAGTGAGATGAAATCTTAGAGTACTGATTTGCATTTCTCTAATTGCTAGAGATGATGAACATTTTTCCTTATGTTTCTTGAATACCACATTTTTTTTTATCCATTCATCTATTGAAGGGCATCTAGGTTGGTTCCACAGTCTAGCTATTGTGAATTGTGCTGCTATGAACATAGATGTGGCAGTATCCCTATAGTACACTCTTTTAAGGTCTTCAGGGAATAGTCTGAGAAGGGCAATAGCTGGGTCAAATGGTAGTTCCATTCCCAGCTTTCCCAAGAATTTCCATACTGCTTTCCAAATTGGCCACACCAATTTGCAGTCCCACCAGCAATGTACAAGTGTACCCTTTTCCCCACATCCTCGCCAGCACTTGTTGTTGTTTGACTTCATAATGGCTGCCAATCTTACTGGAGTGAGATGGTATCTTAGGGTGGTTTTGATTTGCATTTCTCTGAATGCTAGAGATGGTGAGCTATATTTCTTCTTCTGTGAAGTGTCTGCTCAGTTCATTAGCCCATTTACTGATGTGTTATTTGAAGTTCATTTTTAGGTTAATATGTGGTAATAACATGTTTTTAAATGTGTGCACATTTCTCATGTTGAATATAGTTTATTTTTCTTCTTAGAATTCAAATACCCTAACTCAACTAGGGCAGTCCATTCAAATTGAGAGGATGGAATCTCAAATTGTCTATAACTTTATTCATGAATATCTTTGTGTCTAAGAATTCATATTTAAAATAAAACTAAATAATTATCCTAAAGTATGTCTTTGCTTAATAACACTATTAGTTGCCTTCAAGGTTTTTTCTCATCAAATATTTTGAGTTTCTTCTGCTGACCTCTCTCCCAGTTTTTAAGTACAATTCTTATCTCATTTGAAATTATGATTTTAATATTTCTCTTCTGATTTTGTATTTCTTAAGCCATTTTTTAAAATTAATTAATTATTAACATATTTTGCGTACTCTTATTGGACAATTTTTAAATTTTTGTATGCATATTTATTGTATAAGTACAACTTTCTTTTTGTTAAACAATTCTGTCCTAATATTTATGTTAATTATTTAATGTGTAAAACATTCCAAAGTTAAATTTATAATTCTTAAATTATTTTTATCAAAAATTTTACTACAAATATTATGGGAATTTTATATCTCTGTTTTCCTCATATTTGAGACTTATGTCATTAGATAGAAACTCTCCAAATTGATTCCTGCAAATCTAGGTTGTGTTGTAGATAAAGATTTTATGTCAGGATGAAAATATTTATAAATTGGATCCTTTTATATTTTAACTTATATATATATATATATATATATGCATGCAGTAATCTCACTGTGTATAGGTTGCAGTATTTCAAAATGGATATATTGCTCTAACTATTTTCAGAAAAAAAAACTGACTCCATCTCATGACACATTAGAAAGGGAACTACTCCTTTACATGATTTAAATCAATATTTACCTATTGGGCAGTTACTTTTCACCAGAGTCCAGAGAATAACTCAATAATTACAAAAAAAAAAACCGCAGACACAATAAAATAAGTAAAATTTAAAATTCTGATGTTTTGGTGTAATAGTTTTTCAGGTGGTTGTACACACAAATCCAAGGCAGAATTTAAGGACAGTATCTGA